CAATATGTTGAAGAATCACACAAGAACAAGAATTAATTCCATTAAACATGAGAAATATGTTGAAAAATGCAAAGAAAGATGGTTTAGTTTAAGTCAAGATTTGCACTTAACAAACTCTCCCCAACTAGATTTTTTCTTGTCCTCAAGCAAAGTATGCCCCTCATGAAAGAAAGAGAGATTTGCTCAATCATAAGATTCAACCAAGAAAGGGTTAACAGTTCAAATTCAAACAAGAGACATTTGCTCAAATAAGAGGATTTGGTCAAGCATTAGGATGCATACAAGCAATGTTCACCACTTAATAGAATCGAACAATGATAAGGAATTTAGTTCCTAAACAAATATCATACAATTTTTCAAATAACAACTAAATTCTCATACTTGAATCAATCTAACACTCCTCTTCAAAATAAGAATGAAGAAATTAACGCGTTTGCAACTGTGGGAAAATTTCACTCATCGGACAACCAATGCAAATAAAAATCCAATTCATACATTCATCTAACGATCAAAAATGAAAACATGGAAGCAAAAAGATCACTAAGGGATTTTAAGGTTGTAGCTTGGTCGGGTTCACAACAAAGAGACATTTCTAAAGGATATTGAATCGAAATTGCCAATCCAAAAGAAACATTCACTATACATGGTATTTACACATCACAACCTCATTCACCACTTTCTTTCCTCAATTTTAAACCTTCTCAAACTTCCTTTTACACAATTATTTCATTCTCTATTTCTCTTTTTCAAATAAGCCTTATTTTTCTTTTGTTTTTCACATTCATATTCACACTTTTTCCATGCTTTCTTGCAAATTTTAAATTTTTTTAATAACCTACCATTTTTCTTTTCATTCTCCCCAACTTGAATTCAACCAAACCTCAAGTGAATGCTCTTTGCTTTTTATGGCAAGGAAATCAATTTAAAATAATGTTCAATGGTTCAGGAATTTTTTATTTAGAATCTCGCAAAATTCAATGATGAACTAAACTTTCAAATTATGTATATAAACCAAGTTCATCACTAAAATAAGATCTAAATTGTTTAGCCTCAAAGGGGTTAACAAATTCTCACTACTCACGAGTAAGTTACTTTTTGGATACAATTGTGCTCAATATAAACAAATGCCTTGATCATTTCTAATGCTTCCACAAAATCACAATAATCAAAAGATAAAGTACACATCAAATTAATTAAACAAACTTATCAGTCATCCTAGCATATAGTAAACAATGGAGGTTTCTCACAATTTGTGACTTTTGGTCCTAAGTGAAACAAGCATTCAAACAAGTTGCAACAAGAAACAAGAATACACATTTTCACAAAGCACATAATTCTTAAATCAATCTAACATTCTATAAAGCAGTACAATTTATCTTGCTTGCATTCACACGTTCAACATTCTACCATCACCATGCAAACTTGGGAAAATCTCCATTGAATACTTTTATATAAATAACAACCAAATCTAGAAGAGATTCTCATCATTCCTCCCTAATCAACAATAGAGAAAATGTGAAAAGAAACAAGTATATATACAACATAAACAATTGTAAAAAGCTCAAAAATATAGAAACTATTGTAATGCACTTCAATATGATCTAAACAACAATCTTGGCAATGACGCCATTTTGTTCGAACTGCAGTAAAGTGGCAAGAAACAAAAATTTAGATTTGGAAGGATTCCCTCTGGGATTTATATCGTCTCCAAAGGGATCGGTGTCAGGGAAAGAACATCATTCAACGTCTCTACATTTCTAAGCTTGTTGTGGAAATTTGGTTGAAAGATCAAAGATACCATAGATAAAAGCTGAAAATATAAAGACAAAAAATATAAAGTAAAGACTTAAAATATAAACAGAGTCTTGTTGGGATTGGATCTCATCAATTGATAACACATGCATTCTTCTAACCAATTAAACACAAATCAATCATTCGTTTAATATCCTCATGTATCACCCACAATAGATGTCATGTCTAACACAACATCGAGAGAACAACAGTATTATCTCATTGGTGATGTCTCAGGAAACTCAACAACACAGAGCATTAATAACCGATACTTAAGCAAATATTAAGCCCAAATCTAGGTCTAGAGTCTAAAACCTAACAAATAATCATCCTAGATCCAGATCTAAAGAGTATATTTCTATAACGGTTCAAATTAAAGATAAACAAGTAAACAAAAATGACATCCATATCAACTTCATGATTGATTCATATAAAACGCCATGATCAGAATACGTACATATACTTAACCCTTTTTACATGCATTCAACTAATTTACCAAATGTATGTGAACATTGTTTTTCATCTCTATTATCACGCATCCTTATAATACCGTATTAATCCTACTCATGCTACTAATCAACACAATACAATCAAAGATACTAGTGAATATCAACTTACAAGACCATGTCAAAAATTTTCTCATTGATAGATGAATATCTAAGATTTAAGATTTGAAAAAGGTTTTGTCAAGACCCATAAATAAGAAATCTAAGATAACATCAATATTGAATCAAAACTAGTTCACAAATATATATTAGATAAAATACATAAGATATCAAAAGATTACATCCAAACCCAATAAGAGATCGAAGATCTTACATTCTCCCCCTTAGGGTTTGCATTTCTCTCTCTAGAATATACTTGGAATGAAGAAAGATGAAGTTCTATTCTGAAAAATATCTAACTTCCTATCTAAAAAGTGAGAAAAATATATATATATAGTGAAACAAAATCTATCATGTTCGCCTAGCAAACACCTTCTTCGCCCAACGAGGTCCACGCTTAGGAACTTCAAGTGCCTTTGAACAGTTAAACTGCCTCTGGAAAATATATGAGTTTGCAGTGCGAGCACTTCTTCGCACAACAAACTACTTCGCTGTAGTTTCGCCCAGCGAACTTTGGGTCTTTTTCCTACTGCCTCTAATCAAAGATTATTCGTTGGGGCTTCGCAAGGATCTCGTACAACGAGCATTCACTTTATACCTCGCTAGTGTTCACACAACGAACATCCTGATTCCTTTTCTCTTCTTTGGCTTCCTTGACAATTCACTTGTTTATTAATTTTTGATGTTTTATGCCTAAATCATGTACAATAACACACACATCAAGGAATTCAAAGGTATTTGCAATATGTTGAAGAATCACACAAGAACAATAATTAATTCCATTAAAACATGAAATGAGTTGAAAAATGCATAGAAAGATGGTTCAATTTAAGCCAAAATTTGCACTTAACACCATGTCAATCCTAAAATCCCTACCATAAATTGTCAAAGGTCAATTCAGAAACACCAATAAAGTAGTCACTGAACCATTAGATGGGGTATAAATGACCATGCTACCACTCATATCAAACACTTCTAAATTCAATCTTAACACATACTCAACAAATATAAACGAATGCGTCGCACACGTATCAATAATACTAATAAAGGGAATATTGTTAATAGAGCATGTACCTCAAATCAAGTTATTAGATGCAGTAGTCTCTGCTCCAGACAACACAAAATCTTTCCCTCAAGACTAAGCCTTCTTATGTTTCTCACACTGAGTACTAATATGATTCTACTCTCCATAATTAAAGCAAGTCAGATTATTACTCCTACAGTCAATAACTTAGAGACTTAGCTTCCCACACTTGAAGCAATTCACAGTTGTGCCTTGCACTCAGAAACACGATGTCCAAACTCACCACTTTTGAAACATCTCACAGAAGTAAGAGTCCTTCCCCCACTTCGCTCTTTCCCACCTGTAGCCTTCTAATCAGCCTTTTGTTTCTCTTTGTCAGCTGGAGCACTATACGGTTTTCCACGACTCTGATCCTTCCCTTTTCCACTAAGAATCTTATAGTGAGTAGATCGGGCTTTGATATCCTCATCATATATTCTGCACTTATTTACCAGCACAAAAAACTGGTGAATCTCTTAATACCCAATACCTTACTTGATCACGGGAGACAATCCCCTCTCGAACTTGATACGCTTCGATCCCTCAGCAGTCACACTGCAGTGTGGACAAAATTTCATCAATTCTTCAAACTTATCAACATACTTAACAACTGCCGAATTTTCTTGTTTCAGCTCAAAGAACTCAATCTCATTTTACTCTGCACGTCCTAAGGAAAGTAATTTTCTAGAAAATGAGCTATGAACTCAGTCCAAATAATCTCAATACCTATAGCCTCTAGTCTCTGACGCGCATTATCCCAAACAATTTCTTAAATATCCGATACATTTCTATACAAAACTTTTGAAAGTATTTTGAAAAAAAGTTTCCAAACAATTTGGTTTGTATTAGATTTTGTTAAAAATTCATTAAAAACGCATAATTTTGGCACGACAGTTTAGTAAATCCAGTAAAATTTTACGAATTATCCAAAAATCTGGTATATTAGAACAAAAATCCGATAAAAATACAAATAACCAGCAAATAAGATTTTTTGCAACCGATATAGTAATTAGATAGTGTGATTTTTTTTTAATTTTTATTTACAAAAATTAGAGAGTGTGAGATAAAATTCTCCAAATCTAAAACTTAGCCTTGATGCGAGAGGCCCAACAAATGGACCAAGGAAACAATCCGCGAAACAAGCAAGAATCTATACTTATGACGATAGGGACATTTTCCAGCTATATATTACATCAAATTGTTGTTCATATGGGACAGTATTAACTTTTTCTTTTATCATCGTGAATCTAATGGTAATAGATAATGAAAAAGGGGGCATATGAACTAGGGGCTTCCATTCAACACTAGCACATAATCAAGCTTTTAGATTTTTTATTATGATATCTAGTTTATGATTTTATAAACATGAAATTAAGTTGACCTCTAAGATATGACCACTCAAGTCACTCATTTGTTATATAATAATCACCCCATTGTTATACACATAAAATCAAAATTTTACAACTTAGAAAATATACAAGGAAACTTTGGTTGATGGTTGAAAATCAATTTGGGATGAATTAATTTCTGAATCAACAAAATCAAGTTGAAAAAACTTTGGTTTCCAATTGATAGGCCTTGGTAAAAAATGCAGGCCAGCATAAATATGTAGCCATTATACTACTAATAGTTGCAGCTCCAATCATCATATTCATCACCACAATCTGTAACTGAATGGCTTCCAACGGTGAAGCCCCTCCCATTATAAGACCAGTCATAGCCCCTGGAAGAGAGATTAACCCCACTGTTTTTGTGCTGTCCACCACTGGAGAAAGTGCTATAATCAATGCCCTTTTCACTTGTTGATGTGTTGCTTGTCTTGGGGTTGCACCAAGAGCCAACGCCGTCTCAACCTGCCATAATTTAATTCATGTCAACTTTCCAAAAATATATAGTTTCTAATTATTACCTATATCTATATCTACTTGTCAATGTCAGTGTCGTGTTTTTTTGCATTTGATCAGTTAAGATCGCATGTACCAAATTGATTTGTGTTTTTATGTCATCGCGGAGTCTTTTCATGGTAACTCCGGTTACTGTCATGGAATTTCCAACCATCATCCCGGCGACCGGGATTATATATCTGGGAGTGAAAGGGAAGACGCTGAGTGCCACTAGAACAAACATGGTTATGGCAGTTCCTGTTAGAATTGAAGCTCCTGCAACATATTTTCCTCGAGGTACTTGTTTCGCGCGCTGACCCGCTGTATAACCGGCAATAGATACCTACAGCCGTAAATTAAGCAAAGAGAAACTTGATTATATACAACTAGAACAGATTCATGGTCTTTTTAAGAAAAAAATGAATTAAAGAGGAGGGGGTGAGACCATGAAAAGGTATGCTAGGAGGATCCATCCGGAGTTTTCCTGGTTGAAGATGAATTGCAGAACAAAACCAATTATTGAGAGTTGAAGAAAAGCTCTAAGAACAGCAATAATCATTTCCACCTCGAGACCGAGTTTCTGCGAGAAGGACAAGGCTACTGCAAGAAACACCACTGCTGTGGCGCAGACCGGTTTCACCATGCCTTTAAGAAACTCTGTCAACCATGACAAATCCATGGACACCAAAGGAAATTGCTGCTGTAATGTGTGGTTGTGGACTACCATGGATTTGAGAAAAACAGATTCCATGGTGGAGGTGGTGAGGCTGAAAAAGGTTCTTTGGTGATAACTTGTATGTATATGGAAAAGCAAGTCAGAAACGACCTTCCCCGGAATGTGAATCCCCTAGTGGAAAATCTTATTGTAAATATTAAGTATGATTTAATTCATATATGTGTATATTCTCTAAGAAGTTTTTATACCGTGGAATAATCACAATTTAAAGATATTTTGCAAAACTTATAAATTATATTACTACTAAAAAGTTTCACATTTCTATAACTTTTAAAATTATTTCATTATCTTAGCTTGTCAGACATAGTAGGTGATTCAGCAAGATTTATTTGTCTCTTTCTTGAATTAATTATTACTAATATGCAATTAATAATTATAAATAGAGTTGACAACACTAACTGGACGTACGTACGACCAAGGACGGTATAACGATAAATAACGAAGGGGTAGTAGTTGCTTGAACTTGGACGCTCTCAGATGTAATGTTACGGCGCACGTTAGTGAGTGGAACTATGACTAATATATGTTGCTGGTTTTTTAGTTTAGTTTTGGGTGATAAAGATTGATTCTTTTTTTATTCATCTATAATGAATTTGAAGCAATCTATCGTGGCTGGTATTTGTGGTCACACGGTGTCCAACTGTCCATGTTCGTGGTTGTCCACTTATGCTTTAGGTACCACACTCACGTGTCTTGGTTATTCCATGAGGTGTTCTCCATTGCTTTTATTTTTTTAACTAATCGAAATGTAATAAAAAACAAATGAGAGAAAGAATTATATTTTCTTTTGAAAAAGAATTTAATAAAGCAGAATTAATCTTTTTTTTTTTATAGTTGGGCTTGTTTTGAATTTTTGTAAAAAAGTTCTTTTTTTCCTGTTTTGAGAGGTCATTTGGGTTAAGAAATGGACTTTTTAGTTATTAGTCACAGAGAATTTTTTAATGTATTTTATATGTTTTTTAAATATTACGTAAAAATTTAAAAATGTTTTTAAAATTTTTAGAAATGTATGTCTGAACGCATCTAACACACACTCAACAAAGATCATTCTGAGTTACGTTATATTTTTTGGTTTATTTTATTCCGAAGATGCATCTCCTGAATATTTTCGTAGTTACATTTTCGTAACACAAACACATCAACAACATATCCAAAACCATGTAATTTTCCAAATGAAATTTAGATTCATAAAATAAAATTAAGATTGCATTGATCATTTCAACATAAAATGCAACATTACTTCAATATCCAAGTGGACGCTTCAATATCTTCGTAATATCTTCGATCGATCTTGAAATCGTCGCTTCTAACTCGAGCAGAACTTTTCTTTTGAAACGAAAATATGTATTCTACATAGCCCTTACATGTGCTTTTGTCTTGAGCTCAAATTAATTGAACTTAATCTTTCCTCCGTTGTCAATCGACGGTGAAAGGTACTCGAGCTTCATAATCCTTCGATTGTCTCCGTAAGGTAGGAGATGATGGATTTCGTCTTTGATATCTTCGAGGGAGTGAAATCAGTGAGCTTAAGCGTTCGTCCAGGTATAGAGCTGAAGAAGGAGACATTTGCAACATATCAGTTGATATTTATTTGTATCCTTTGAGACATTTTCAGTTGTGTGAAATATAACATAAGAGCACCTTAATTTATAGAAACTGTAGATCAATATGGACCACTCAATATCTGGTATGCTGATTTCGGAGATATATCTTCGATACTGGATCCTATTATTTTGTCCCAGAGATGCATCTTCAGGACTTCTCCTGAACCAGTTCCAAAACAGAACCTTATTTTTCTTTACAAAAGAACTAATGTTGTTATGGGGAAGACCAAAAATGCATTAAGACACAATATGAACAAATGTTGAATATATTACACTTCATTCATATCGAGACACAATTACATACACTTATTTACCCGGTTAAATAAGAAATTAAAATGAATCGAAACATTTAACGTCGGCTAAATCTATGGGTGGTACCCCCTTGGAATTTTGCGCATTTGATTATTTTTCAATGTTGTTCAATTTATCGAATTCTTGCATCCTTTTCATAAAATGATTCGGCCAAGTCTCAACTTTTATGGTTGAATGATTCGTCCACTCTGGTGATGTAAGTGGTATAAGGCATTCATGTATCAAGTAAACTTGAACGAAATGATTTGATTTTGAAAGCCATCAAATACGCATAATACGATCATTTGGATTTTGAGGTAGGATGGTGCGCAGTGGGAAAAAGGTTTCCAAAAAACCATATCGTGTCAGATCAACACACAATGTATCATACCCACATGTTGTTAGATGACCCATTCCAGAGAAGCACGTCCATTTTATCTCTGGTTCCGGACTACTAAGGCAAGGAACAAGAGACTCAAACTTCATCAAAATTTTCCTTCTTTCCGTACAAAATATGTCTTCTCAATTGAAATAACACCAACCATCTATAGTAATGAAATTTTATACTTGTTGGTCTTGTAGGTTGAATCAAGTATGAGCATAGTAGGAAATGTGTTGAACAATTTTATAGAATCGGGATGAGTCCAAAATATATCTCTAACAATAACTTCATCCTTGCATGTTCGGTACCTTAGACATGTAGTTGTTATCATCCAACAGTTTCAAGAGTTGTTGCATTTCAGTTCTATCCCCCCTAAGCGTCTTATTAGTAAGGTACCGAATATTATACACTTTCTTGATATTTGATATATTTGTGGGTTGTTTTCGATTCAATATTGCAAGTATATTTTTCGGTTGAACCAGATTCAATGTCATGTCAACAACACATTCATTCTCTTTCAATATAAACCGACACACACTAGGATGGTCGACTAATTTTTCACACAAATCATGATTATGAAAACCATGTATCATATTAAATCTCCAGTTTTTGCTTGCCAACATGTAACCACACACCTTAAACAGACACTCACATTTTTTTGAACCGATGTCGTCTCTTTTAAAATTCTGGAGAAGAGTTCTATATTTCTCGCTTCTTTCATTGTCACAAAAACACATCTTCTATCCATACCATTATCACACCTTCCAATAACCACACCAAATCTAAGTTTAGAGGCATTCATACGAATCCATTGAAGCATTTGGTCACGAGATTTAAACTCTTGCTCGTTTTTAAATTGGTTGCCAACATCTACCGCCTTCACAATAACACCTTGGACATGTGGAGAAACAACTTGTTTTGGAAAAACATCGGGGTGCATCATATCTAATGAAAATAATTAAAACCATAATAATATATAAGCTCCACTACTGAAAACAAACTTGGAAAATTAACACAGACTAGTTCCAGATATGCATCTCAAGACAAGTTCATACTCGTTTCGGAGTTACATTTTCAGACACAACGCTTGTTTTTCATTAAAAAAAACTTGATTAATGTGAGCAGTGCAGTGAGAAAAAATGATCTTTACCTGCAATTCTATCTTTTTTTGTTCCCTATGATGTGATAAACCACAAGAATGGAGATTTGGAGTGGAAAAAATGGGTTGAGAATGGAGGGGTTTGTGTTGAAAAACAACAATGGTTGTAATGGTTGTGTGATCATGCAACTGTTACTTTTATCAGATTATTCCGGAGATGCATCTCTAGAAATATCTGACATGCAAAGGTGACAATAAATTTCAAAATCCCGCCTAAATTTCCGGATATATACCTTCGGAATTTCCACTGAACTGATCAATACTTAACATATTTCTTGAAATGTTCCAAATATGCATCTATAAAATAAAAATAACCCAACATGTAGGGCGCCACTCAGAATGACCTGCATTGAGTGTGTGATGAGTGTGTTAAGAAATCCTCATATTCATATCCACATGTTGGATCCAACCCATTCTGATATGTCTAATTTTAATTTTAATTTGGTTAATCAAAGAGTCAAGATGACTTCTATCATTTATGTCATTTTTTATCTCACTACAAGGCCTAGGGCTCTACTTTTCCTTCTTCATGCCATTGATTCTGCTATCGTTCTTGATAAACCTATCAATTATTTATTTATAATTAGTATTAACAAGAACATGTTATGAATTCATCTTGATCCAAATCAATTGCATGGTTTGTCGCTTGAGCTTCAATATCGATTGGATTGTAGTAACCCACTTGTCTCCAAGAAACTTCATCTACTATATCATCTTTGCTTTGGAAAGTTGCTCCCATTTTTCAGATACCTTCAGTGTTAAGGCTAATGTCTAAGTTTATAATGATTTGAGTGTTTTTCCAAGTGTTATTTGTATCCGCTTCGTCTAAGAGGGTGATGTCCTTAGAGGTACTTCTTTAATTTTTGTCTTTTTCCTCTCCTCCATCTTGGCATTTACTCTTATATATATATATATATATATATATATATATATATATATATATATATATATATATATATATATATATATATATATATATATATATATATATATATATATATATATATATATATATATATATATATATATATATATATATATATATATATATATTAATTTGTTCCATTGCATGTCGCTAACTTTATCCTTTTGAGATATTTTACTTATTTAAGTATGATTAGTTTGCATAGATTGATGATGAGTATCTATTTTATGCTTGATGTTAGAATTTTTCTCGTTGCACTTATCATTATGGATTTGATTACTCTTCATGTTGAGCTCCCTCATGGAGGGCTGAGATAAGTTCCAGCCCTCTTATCTTTATAGTTTTCCTTTCATATGGTCTTCATAGCATGTCAATGATCATATATCTAGTGCTTATTGTTTGACTCACTGGTGATTTTTTTCTAAGTAGTCCTCTTTATCAGTGTGGGTTCACCTATTTGTGTCATCAGGTACTCTTTTTCTTTTTCTAGGTGGTCATTTCTGTCAAATTTTCAATATTTTCTTTGTTGGCTTATTCTCATGGTCTTTTTTTTCCTAGGTGATAGCTCAGGTTTTTATGCTTGGCGAGACAAATTTTATTTTTTCTATGCTTTGAATATGTAACCTCTTCTCTTCCCTTCTTATTCTGATTTAT